CTGTGTTATCATGGGTGATCTAAATGGGCATAATCCTTTATGGGGAAGTGCAATCATTAATCAAAAGGGAAAAGTGTTCCGATAATGATCTCTGCATCTTTAATGATGACTCCGATACGTATTTACACCCTGCTACTGGCACGTATTCATCTCTCGATCTGTCTTTGACGGATTCAGTTTTGTTAAATGAATTCTCCTGGTCAGTCCACGATGACCTGTGTGGAAGTGACCATTTCCCCACTGTACTTAAACCCATTAATCCCGCTGATGATCCACCTTCACCTCGATGGAATTTTTTGAAGGCTGATTGGCCTTTATTTCAGTCTTTATGCAAAGATAAATTACAACCTACGTCTATTCAGAATGTTACTGACCCGATTCAGTTGTTCTCAGATCAACTGAATAAAATTGCTTATGAATCAATTCCTAAGTCCTCCCTCAACCCACGTGTTCGTAAACCATGGTTTGATGACACTTGCAAACAAGCTAGGAAATGTCGTAAGAAGGCGGAGAAATACTTCCGTAAACATCCTACTGTCCATAATTTAAACACTGTCAAAATTTCAAATGCTAAGGAAAGAAGTCTATTTAAGCAAAATAAACGTCTATCATGGAGGAACTATGTCTCCAAAATAAACACTCGTACACCTATATCCAAGGTATGGAACATGATTAAAAAGATCAAAGGCAAGGGATCAAATTCTACAGTTAACCATCTGAAGGATGGCGATACTTTACTGACTGATAAAACTGCTATTGCCAATAGACTTGGGAAAACTTTATCTCAACATTCGTCTTCATCTAATTACGTTCCCGAATTTCAAAAATATCAGCTCCAACAGGAAAAGAAAAAAGTAAATTTTACATCTGATAATGGTGAAGATTACAATGAGGTATTTTCACTACATGAGCTATTTACTGCCTTCGGGCAAGCTCATGATCCAGCAGCAGGCGCTGATAATATTCATTATCAGCTACTGAAACACTTGCCCGAATCATGCCTTGAAACTTTGTTGACTATATTCAATGACATTTGGACATCAGGGACGTTTCCACCTTCATGGCATAATGCCATTGTTATACCAATACCCAAACCTGGGCGGGATCATTCTGATCCTTCAAATTACCGACCTATCTCTCTAACTAGCTGTGTTTGTAAAACGATGGAACGCATGGTAAATAATCGATTAGTGTGGTACTTGGAAACAAATAATCTTCTTATTAATATACAATGTGGTTTCCGGAAGAACAGAAGTACTATCGATCATTTAGTGCGTTTAGAATCGTTCATTAAAAATTCCATTGTAAATAGACAACATGCTGTATCGATCTTTTTCGATTTAGAAAAAGCTTACGATACAACTTGGAAACATGGTATTTTAAAAGATCTTCATGATTTGGGATTAAGAGGCCGTCTGCCTCATTTTATATCCCAGTTTTTAACAGACATGCAATTTCAAGTCCGAGTGGGTACAACCCTGTCTGATCATAATCAGGATCAGGGTGTCCCACAAGGCAGTATTTTGTCTGTCACTTTGTTCAGTATAAAAATTAACAGTTTGTCAAAAGTTTTAAATGATTCAGTTGATGGATCACTTTTTGTGGATGATTTTAATCTATCTTGTGTGGGTAAAAATATGCGCACAATTGAAAGGCAATTACAATTATGTCTAACTAAAATTAACAAGTGGTGTCTAGAAAAGGGGTTTAAATTTTCCAAATCAAAAACTAATTGCATACATTTCTGCCGAAAATATAAACCGCATAAGGACCCTGAACTATTTCTGAATGGCACCCCTATCAAAGTTGTTAAGGAGGCCAAGTTCTTGGGACTTATTTTTGACAACCACTTAACTTTCCTCCCACATATTAAATACCTTAAAGCTAAATGCCTGAAGGCACTCGATCCATTGAAAGTTGTTTCTAATTCAAAGTGGGAAGGGGATCAATCCACCCTCCTACACTTATACAGGTCACTAATCCGTTCAAAACTTGATTATGGCTCCATCGTCTATGGTGGAGCCTGTAAAAGTAATTTAAACAAACTTGATACGATACATCATCAGGGTCTGAGGCTTTGCCTTGGAGCCTTCAGAACGTCTCCCATTCACAGTCTATATATAGAAGCAGATGAGCCTTCTCTTAAACAACGCTGACTAAAATTATCTTTACAATACATCACTAAATTATATTCTAATCAGTCCAATCCAGCTTGAATGCATCTTCAATCCTCTTTACAATAAGAAATCAACTCTCACTCCACCACTAGGAATCAGAATAAAATCTGCAATATCAGCTTCTGATATTAAACTCCAAGATATAGCTCCCACTAAACTTTTCTCATCTCCTCCTTGGCAGATTGTAAAGCCAGAAGTAGATCTTACATTAACAAAACTAAAGAAATCAGATACTAACCAATTAATTTACCAACAAGATTACCTTCAACTAAGAAACACTTACGACACTTCTAAATCTATATTTACAGATGGATCCAAGGATGGTGGCGCAGTTGCTAGTGCCACTGTCATTGGATCCAGAACAATATCTTCACGATTACCCGATAACAGTTCCATATTTACAGCAGAAGCACATGCCATTTTCACAGCACTAAAATATATCAGTCATCAATCTAAACATAAACAATTTATTATTTTTTCTGATTCACTTTCATGCCTTCAGGCGATTAAAAATATGTCACCCAAACATCCACTTTTAATCCAGATTATCGAATTAATAAATGATCTTACTACTGGCCAATATGACATCGTCTTTTGTTGGTTACCAAGCCATGTTGGTATCATTGGTAATACCATGGCTGATGCTGCTGCAAAGGCAGCACTCAACAAATCTGTGACACCACTTCTGATCCCCTACACTGATTTTAAACCTGTAATTAGATCTTACATCATTGATCTGATGCAAAAGAAGTGGGACACCCAAGTAGGTATTAATAAATTACATCAAATTAAACCACATATTGGTTACACCTACTTGGGCTGTCAGTCCAGATTTGAAGAGGTCATTATGCGACGATGCCGTATTGGCCATACAAGATATACCCATGAATATTTGTTGAAATGTGAGGATCCTCCGTTTTGTATCCCTTGTGATGAAAGAATCACAGTCAAGCATGTCCTGCTTGACTGTGTGGTTTTTCCATCACAAGGGATAAATATTTCAATGTAAAAACAATTAAGGACCTTTTTAATGATGTTAATTCTCGTTTAATATTATGTTTTTTAAAGGAAATAGAACTTGTTCATAAATTTTGATGTACTAACTGTATTGTTTTAAAAATTGGTAGTGCGAAATTCATAACTTAGATTGTTAGTGGCTGTACCCTTGAGGGGGGTTGAAGTAGCGTAAAATTTATTTCAGGACACTAGGCTTTTAAACATAGTATCTTCGTTATTTTAATCAAAGGCTTAACTGGTACACTGTCGCCAGTGACTGAAGGGATGATATAAATCCTGCCGGGGTCCATGCAGGAAGCAAAAGTACTGTAAGTCCCCATGGTCCCCAGTATGGTGATCTCCCTTCAGTTGCTGACGATGTCTAGCCCATTTTTATATTGTGGTGTTCATAAATGCTTACTGCCTTTTACTATACTCAACTAGTTTTAAATCAAGTCTGTGATATTCTAGTTATTCTACTGTCCTTCGTTGACAGGTTTTTATTCAGTCTAAATATATGTATCATAAATGTATCATAAATGTATCATACATGTTACTTCTCGTCACGATATGGCTGAAATATTGCCCATGTGACGTTAAATAATAACTCACTCACTCACTCACTCACTCACTCACTCACTCACTCACTCATAATAATGCATAAACACATACTTATGATACAGACGTAATTGTAAATTAATTCTGCTTTCAGCAGAAATGTCTTATGATTGTGGCAAGGGTTTTGTCGCTTTTATTCATTGTTATCCTCCTTGAATCCACAACATAATTAATATTCAAATTCGACTGCTTACAGGCTTGACATTACTATATACTATATTCTTCAATGGGTGAGTCCTACACGAATAATTTCCAAAATAAGTTGATAGACATCATATGAGCAGGGGTTTGTTTTCGTGTATCCTCAGTGATATCATTCAGAGATAAACCTGCTGAGTTTTGACATTTGAGGTAGTCTAACTGTATATACCTCTTGCTTTAACTGGGAAATAATCCTCCATTGATATCTATTTAATTTTTCCCAACCTGTTGCATATATTTGACTTCTTGAACTCACTCTAAGTCATTTCTTGTAAATCAAGATGAAAACTTCCATTGTGGGGGTGTCAGGTTCTAGAAGTAATGACAAAGGATACGGATCAAATTTATTTCTCAACAAACTTTAATATATAATATGATTATAATTATTTTCAAATTTGTACTCCCCAAAAGTATAACGTATTCAGAATGAATATATCTCCACATCCGAACCTGGCTGAACCCTTTTGTATTTACTCTTCACTGTCCATGACTGCCAAAATAGTTATTCAACCTAGATATTCAAGGTGATAGTGCTATTTACAAATTGCATGAAGCCAGAGCTGCAATTATGTTCAACATTAACCTGATAATTTCCTGATGGTAATGTGCCTACTCGCACAAATATTAACAACGGAACCACATTGAAGTTTGCCTGAATACAGCCATGTTTGATCTAAAGACGAGACGTCCCTGTGCGACACGAGAGACACAGTACACGTGGTTAGTTAAAGTCATCAATGATCTCCGGTGACACTTAAGACACAAGGCTTCTTTTCGGTTGTATCAACCTTTCCCTAAATTTCAATTTCACCTTTCCCTAATTTCAATTTCACTTTGGATCACAACCAGTGCTTATTTCAGCAACAACTGACAAAATGTAATATTCCCCCCTCACTTCTAATCAACCTGTTTCGACTATTCAAATGAAATCATTGAAGGAAATGACTCAGACAAGTTCCATGTGCACCCAAGCTAAAATGGATGTCTTCCAATGAAAAGCGAACAATGTTGACATTATGTTTAAATAGATTTACTGTAGTTGACACACAATATAGGTATAAATGCGGTTGTAAACTCTTCAATATTCCACAGGATAAACAGAATTTGGTTGCCTCATTTATTAAGATAGTTCCCCTTCACTGTATCTTGTTGTGAGATGCGTAGTCATGTTCGGTAACTTGGAGTAATCGTATTATTGACAAGATCTCTTTATATCAATTATCCAAAACCCTAGGAATAACGCTATTATTCACACACAAAGCTTTCTCAGCATCAATCATTTTTTAAGTAATTATATATGACAAGAAAAGACATATTAGTGAAATATTGCATTAGATTACATTAGCATTCGACTCTCATCATATATTGTAGCCGTCTCGCTCAAAGTGGGTATTTAAAATCAAAATGAACGATATCTTGCAGTGAGCATTTGAATTTGAATTTTTGCACACCATTGAATAGCACTCTTGTTTTATAAAGGCATTGCAGTGTAGCGTGAGACGAAAGCCCAAAGTCATGAGCCATTATCACGCTGATAAAGTGAAAACATGTATGGATAAATCAAGTACAAGGATCATCATATGGCGTCCCGATCTGGAACTCAAACCAACCACCAAATGATTCTGGCAGGTAGGGCAATCAATCCTGCACGGCAAGTTAAGTGTTGGAAGTAAGTTTGCTGTGGGCAGTCATTCGGTTGATTAAGTGTATCGCTAGCCAATAATACCAACATCAGGGTGGGTTTGACATCCTTGCTGGCAGATGGGTGAAAAGTCCATCTGATCACAGAACGTGACGTTACATGTGACGTAGAGACCCTTGTCCTCATCCTCATCCGGCAGATCAAACATGTCAAAGGTGAATCGTTTCAAGTGGTCCCTTGACACCAACATCTTTGTTCTCTTGTCCACTGGACAGCTGGAAATAAATCAATTCATTTTCAGTACCGTTATTTTATTAATCTGTAATACTTTGATTAGTTTTACCGATACGTAAAGTGGATTGGTCAATCAGGAGTATTCAAACACAATTACCAGCTGTGGCAGAAACAGCTTACTTGACGACCAAATAACCGCGGATGATAATAGTGACAGAAAAAATGCAGGTTTGGGGTAACGTCAACATTCAGAGTGTGTGACAATACATTTTGTGCAGCAAACACGATAGTAATCGACTGAGAGAGTGCTTTTCAAGTATTTACGGTAACAGAGAGCTTTCAAAATGGCTTTTCTATAGCCGACTGTGACGTCATATTTTCTGCGTCACAACGAGCAGTGTGACCTCAAAAAAGTGACGCGCAGTGTACAACTCACCCTCACAAGGCTTACCTGCTTTACTCTCAAAATATTCGAGTAACGCATATTGATGTGAAAAAATAACTTTCGAGGTACAATGTGTTTTATGTTATAATAATGCACCACGTATATAAAATAAATTGCTATACAAGTAGGAATTTCAGAAACAAATTCTCTAAAACAGAGAACAAATATTTTACCCATTTTCTATCAAGATGTGTGAGACGGGGCTTCTTGAATCATTCGTCAGGTGGGCATGACATGTGTTGATAATCATGATTGTGTTTTCAGACTGTGGACTTGACACTTGGACAAATATCGGCTGTCCGAGCTGTGCCTTGTGTACACTTTCCACAAAGGGAACCTGGTAGGCTGGATCCTTGAAGAGACTGATGTGTACTGAAGATCCCTGGATCTGACCGGATACTGTTATGTGATTGGTTGAGTTGTGTTGGGGGTAGATGTGAACTGAGTCGATTTCATGCAGCAGGTGAGAACACTCCAGATTGACTCTCCACTCGACATCCCTTGTAACATTGTCAGAGGATGGCAATGTGTACAACATGTCGTTACTGAATATGACTTTGTCTTGTGCCACCTGCAATTAAGACAATAGTTTGCAATGGTTATTATCCTTATCGTGAGTATTCTAATAGTTCTGTGATAGTTAAAAGTACAACTGTGAAAATATCGAAACTGTAGTAGTTTTCCGTGTACAAATGTCCTGACTTGATTCGCATGATGCCTAACACGAAGGCAATTCCTCGATTAAGTAGCGAACTCAGTTGTTAGTTGTCTGACTTTGAAAAAAATCTGGCTCCAGATTGGATCATTTTCTGATTACAAACCAAGCGGTAAGTACTTAGTGGAATTTATAATGAAATAGATAATACGCGCGTTTTTAATTATATTCATTCTATATTTTTATATTTTGTCTATAATGTATTATGTATTAATGTCAGCTGTTGGTATTAACCTTGTCTTTGGTGTCATGCAGTAGGCAGAGGGAGAATTGCAATGAAGCAATCTACACTCTGACATAACATACCAAAAAACACTTATAAATTCTAAGCTAGTACATTTCTGTAACAAAATTAGTATGGTTCTGGTCTATGCCCGCATCCTTTTCAAAAGCCATGTTGGGTTTTGGTTTTTTTCTCATTTTTCGGATGTTTTACCAAGGGTAGGAAATTCTAACTTGCCTTCCCCAAAAGCAAATCATCAACACGCACGCTCTTCCAAATCGAGCTGTCGTTGCTCGTGCCAAACTAACACCCCTGCCACCGGTCCCCGGAAATACATTCAAATAAGTTGAAGTTGTAGTTGACGTCACATTATCTAAATAGCAATAACTTTAGGATATTGGTCGTTTTATACGTCAAACAATTAACACAGACTGTAGTATATAGGTGGCTGTTATGTCCACCAACATAAGCACATATATTGCAAATATAGAAAAATAATATAGGACAACAGATTTTACGACCATTTACAAACAGAACAGAATGTAACATTCAGCAGTTCTCTTTGCACAGTATTTGCGTTGATACAAAAACGTGATTTGTCATGCATTAGGTTATAGATTTACATTTTTTTTAAATATATGTAGCTTTTGCGATAAGGGAAACGTATCCTGCCAAACGATGACACTCGTCACAACTACATGAGGGGCAGTCGGGTAGCCTAGTGGTTAAAGCGGTCGCTCGTCACGCCGAAGATCCGGGTTCGATTCTCGACATTGGTACAATGTATGAAACCCATTTCTGGTGTCCCAAGCGGTGATATTACTGGAATATTGCTAAAACGGCGTAAAACCATACTCACTCATTCACTCACAAACACATACAAAGGCATGTCAATGAATATACCATGACGATTCTATTGTTTTGATGCATACAATTCCCTACTGCGTTGACAGGGGCATGAATAATGGGCTTGGGTAGGATGTTTTCAAGCTTCTTTCAAAGTCAAAAGACGTGAAATGTATCTTTTCAGGAATTCATGAGGCGTGGCAATTACAGAAAATAGGCGCCTGTTCGGTTTATGTTTTTAGCTGCAAAGTGGTATTCCACATCCTCAATGTCGGGACTCAAATATCCCTCAATGATCCATCCAAAACCGAAAATGCCAACCTTATAGATAGTTTTACAGCATTGTTGATAAATTGTAACTGTGTTTGCTAAGGACAGCTTGTGTGACGTGTGAATGAAGTTCCTAAAGAGCATAATACTGTCATCAACATCTAATACTACGCACTGCATTAGTACACAATGTCGAAAACATATGTATTTCAGAGTTATGAACCCTTTTGCTGAGAATGGAATCGTTCTCTGTACTGTGATGTCAAAGACAAATTCGGTGATATATTTGCCCTATATGTAGAATTTATAACCGTTACGAATAAATATCACACATTATTTTGTTTGCTCAATTATTTGGAACAAAACAATTATCAAACAAATATAGCATGGTATAATTACAAGGGTAACTTATTTGGACGTAAAATAAACAAAAGAAAAACACATTTGGTACCAAACTTTAAAGGGAAAATTAACTCAACATAGCAGCTTTGAGATTTTAATACTTCAGGGCATTCTTAATCACAAATGCTTGACCAAAATTAGATTTGAAAAACGGAAATAGCGTAAAACGGACGCTAAAACTTGACAGACAAAACCGTTACCCAGACGGATTTACTAGGGTTAAACCTGTTTGGGGACAGCAGCAAGGGTTTGTTATGGTACCCAAACAGGGGTTTGGTTCTATGAAGGTAGTTACTGACAATTCACAATGTCAAAATCAGAGGTCGTTTCACACACGCAACAGGATGAACAGAAAGAGCAACACGTTTAGATTTCTCTTGATTGACCGCTTCCTGACCGCTGCTAAACATCACAAAAAGAGTTTATAATAGATAGCAGCGGCAACCAAGTCTACATATCTCACAATTACTAGAATCCACTGTGACAAGGTTCATGGTGTTGACGGTATTCCGATGGAATGTCTTAAATCATACGTAAAATGTTATTTCGGCGATGCACAATATGTTCAATATATGTTTTAGGGAAAATCCCTGAATTGTGGGCATAATTAACCCCATACCAAAGTGTTCTACTTTAGAGCCTGCGGATCCTTTAACATATAGAGGTTTGACCCTCACAAATTCTATGTACAAATTATATTGTAATATCATAAATAACCGTCTGCAATCTTGGGCTGAAAGCACAGGGGCTCTAAATGATGCACAAAATGGGTTTCGGATGCGTAGATCAACTACGGATCATATTCACTCTGTTTGTTCTTTTATTGAAACTAGAAAATTTATTTAAAAAGACACTTTTTTCTGCTTTTATTGACTTTCATTAAGCGTATGATAGCAGTAACAGAGGTGTGTTGTGGGGGAATTATAGTAACATTGGTGTGAAAGAAAAAATGTTTCTAGCACTTCAATCTTTATATGATAAGTGAAATGCAGTATACGTATAAATGGTATGCTTACACCCTGGTTTAATGTTAATCGGGGTTTAAAACGAGGATGTTTACTCTCGCCAATTCTGTTTAACTTATTTATCAATGATTTGCTTGACAAGCTAAATGAAACTGGTATTGGTATTTGTGTTGATGATATTACTATTGCAGCCTTAGCATATGCTGATGACATTATTTTACTTGCGGAATCGGTAGATGATTTGAATCGGCTGTTACATGTTATAAATACATGGTGTGTTGGTAATAGTATCCAAGATTGTACACTTTAGAAATGTAAGCGTTCCAAGAACAGCTTTTTTAATATTGGTAACTCTGTTTTAGACATTGTTGATTGTTATAATTATCTAGGCCTACTGCTCACGGAACATCTTGACTACAATGCTATGGCAAAAGCAGCAGCTAAATCGGCTAACAGAGCATCAGGTCTTCTTATATGTAAATATAAGGCAATCGGAGGTATGCAATTCACTACTTATTCCAAATTGTATGATACGATGGTTTGGCCAGTCTTAAGTTATGGGGCATCTATCTGGAGTCATTGTGCAATTTCTTCTGTAAATGCCGTTCACCATCGTGCGTTCAGATTCTTCTTAGGGTTGGGTAAATACGCTCCAAATATTGCTGTTAATGGAGATATGGGATGGATTCCCCCGATAGTTAGACAGTGGATGTGTATTGTTAGACAGTATTGTCGTTTTACTAAAATGTCCCTTAGATTAAATAAGTATGTTTTTATGTGGTCTGAACGTTATGCTGGTGGACGTGTGAAAATCTGGAATTTTCGTGTGAGGGCAAAGCTGAACGAATGGGGTCTGAATATTTCTGTGAATGTTATCGTGAAAAGTGTAGTTGTACGTGTGCATGATGTATGGATGGGAAAGTATGTGTCTGACTGGAATTAACTGTTATGCAAGCCTGGCGGAAGAACGGGTGGTAATAAATTACGTACGTATAGAATGTTTGGGTATGGATGTGAAAGTTATGTAAGTATGTATATGCCTCGTTCTTATCGCTCTGCCTTCTCCAAATTTAGATCAGGTACTGTTCCTCTGAAGTTGGAAACAGGCAGATATACGAATATGAATGTGAATGAAAGAGTGTGTTTTCAGTGTGAGGAGAGTATTGAGGATGAATGTCATGTATTGTTGGATTGCCCTGTATACGATGATTTGCGTGAAAGTTTATACGAATAGGTCAGTTTTAGCTATCCCAACTTTCTAGAGTTATGCAATACTGATAAAGCTATTGACCTTTTTAAATATTACGTATATTTTACAGCCAAAACCTGCTTTTTAATTCTCCAACAAAGAAAAAATATGTTATATGGCTAGTGACGGGTAGTATATGTTACACACCTCTCTTACACTAATGTATTTATGCTGTACATACTGTGATATGTTTTAAGTCTCTCGTAACCCTTAACGGATGGCTCACTTTTATGCCCTTTTACATGTATCTATGTAAATATTTTTGTGAGTTGAGACTCAAATAAACAATCTGTCTGTCTATCAGCCAATGAAAACATTTGTCACGCACCGCTGCTCAGGTGCACCAGTAGATTTAGACGGGACCATTTAGACCATGCCCCCAAATAGATTTGTTGGGGAATCAGATTACGGAGCGTGTGATTTTAGCACTTTCACTTGGACATTTAAGTACTTTCTACGAATGTAATGATTTTTTTTCTTTCGGGAATTCACTAAATTGATATTTGCAACCAAATTACAAACATTTTTTCTCTGTATCACCCTTAAAAACTGACTGTCTTAAAATTAAAATCTCACCACGCTCTTTCCACAAGGTGAACTCGGCATCTAGTTGGATGTTTGGTTAGAGGTGCTTCTACTACTTTTATCTCTATTTCAACATTCTGCATGTTGTCGGTAGTAGAAACAATATACATTACATGTCACTATACATATGACATGGATGCCAACTAAAAAGTTCATGCAGTTATTTTTATTAATAAATCTATGTCTTCTATGGCGCATGAAGAACTATTCATTTTGAAGGGTAAATTGGCACTGGTGGCAGTGGTCTGACAAACCTGACGCATGCAAGCTCCTTACAGTGATAACCCGTTTGCAGAGTTCTCTTAATTGTCACTGGTACCAATCACACTGTGCTAGGCGGCTTTCAGTCATGTGACTAGTACAATGAGAATGTAACGGGCAGGTGGGTGTTTCTGTTCGTCTGTAATCTCGAACCAATCTGATTAAACAAACGTAATTTCACCTGGAAAGAAAGTAAGTCAGCCGTAAACCTTCTCCTGATTATAATATGGCATTGCTTAAGAATTAAGGGGTCAAATCTTAATAAACCCCCCTCTGATTGAAACAGCCGATTTGAAGGCTGCATCACTGCAGAAGCTTATATTTTTAGAATAGTACTTTTTTTACCGTCATTGTCGGTAGGCATATTGAAATAATTATTTGTACAATTATAGGCTACAAACTGCAAAGTTGCGGTTACTACAATATCCAAAGGATGTGCGGCAATACATTTCGAGGACAACAGACAGCTTGCTATTTGGCGCTTTTCTATATGCAACTGTGACGTCATATCTTTTGCGTCACAATGAGCGATATGACGTCATAATGGTGACGTGCAGTGTGGAACGAAACCTTTGCAATGCTGAGTCAGTGCCCACCTCATGTCAGCTAACGAAGTTGCTGTGCTATCCATTCAGTGCCTGTCATAAGTTACTGCTTAAGCATATGTGAGCGCCATAATTTGTTAAGAGGCTGTTTTCCGTGATTCCCTAAATTCTGTTCCCACTCAAGACACTTGTCTGAAACCACGCCACTTCACTCAATGTATTTGCGGACACGAAAAGCTTCGCGTTTTATTTAATCATTATAGCACGGGGATAAACATATTGGGTTTTTAATGTTAAGGAAGGTTACCTTTTGATTTGACCGTGTGTGTGTGTGTGTGTGTGTGTGTGGGGGGGGGGGGGGGGGGGGGGGGGAGGGGGGGGCGTGTGTGTGGGGGCGTGTGTGTGTCTGTTTGTGTGTGTCCTTGTGTCTGTGTGTGTGGGCGTGGGCGTGTTTGTCTGTGGTTTGGTTGTTTGTTGTTTTGTTTTGTTTTGTTTTGTTTGTTGTTGTTGGGGTTTGTTTTGTTGGGTTTGTTCTTTTTTGTTTTTTTTGTTTTGTTTTTTTGGGGGGGGGAGTGAGGGGGGAGCCTTTTGGGCTGTTTAAGAAAATACTCGACTGAACTTTATGAGGCAATAAGGCATATTAATACCAGAGACTAAGTTTTTCCTTCAGCATTTAAATAAAATAGTTAATGTCATACCAAAAATGATCTGTCGTCGAGTCATTTTAGGCCCAAACAAAAAAAAACAGAAACGTATTACATTCTTGGCCCACTAAGATTCGAGTTTACCTCTATTTTAGTGTGACAGAGGTTGTAAGAAACGTTGAATACAAGCAGATGCCCTTGCAGCGTCCCTGTACATGCGTGTGTGGCCATGTAGATGTGGGAGACGTCACTGGGTGGACGGCGCAGCTTACTCAGGTCCATAGTCACAAACCAGTTACTCGGAAGACATTGAACACGTACAGCATCCTTCACTGTGAAACAAACGAGACATTACGGGTGATCATATTGGTATCTTTGTCCCTAGACAAGGTCAAACACATCAGCAGAAACTTGACATGGATTTAGTTCAACTTGTGACAATTATAGACACTGATTTTGAAACACACATAAATGGTCTGATAAAATATGTAAAATATTCCATTCAAGACAAACACAAATTAAAGAGAGCAAAGATTTTAAAGACGGAAGTGTGTAGGTAAACTAAAAGAAGTGATAATCATGGGGGTAAAAGACTGGATAATAACTCATATAAAATGTATAGTCAACAAAGACGGAAATGGGTATGTAAAAATTAACATGATATCTTCAGGGGATATTTCATCAGATTGAATATTAACTCCATTTCTGACTCACATTGATCTTCAGATGAAAGTTGATATCCTGCGTTGTAACTGTAGGTTGCACGACTTGCGTACTCGTGTACTCTAACATAAATAGGGTATCCACTATTGATGTGATATGAGGTGTTCTTCTGAAGAACTAGACTTCCAACTGAGTAGAGTGTTGATGTGATATTATCCCAGCGTACATTTACATCTACGGATCCTGCTCCCACAACAGATACTCTTTGAATAGATGATGTCTCACAAACAATTGTACAAACTGGATCTGTACCTTGAGCAGCGTCCATGCTTTCAACGACAAACTCCTTTTCGTACGACCTTTGACCAGGAACAAACATTGAAAATCCACCATAGGGAACAAAGTACGTATTTTGTACGACCATGATCGGTTTATCACACGTGATAAGCAAATCAGCGTCAGGGCTGAAATCAATGTCCTTAAACTCCCTCCAGTTTAGTGAGTGCTGGATCACCTTGACATCAGTATGACTGACAGACTTTATGGACACGGACGTCTCATTCTGACTGCCCACTAGACGAACCACCGTGTGATTAGCTGGTGATGGAACCCTGGGAACTATGACGGTTGTACTGTAGGCACTGATAGGGGGAACTTGGAGTGCAAGATATGTGTTTACCGCATTGTTTGGATAATAGAAAACAGATCCTGAGAATACAGCCACTGGTGCAGTTGACTGGATGTATGTACCACCAAAATCACAATCCAGTGATGTTTCATATGATTCTTTATGTATTATCTGCAAAGCGTCATTTATGTTTAAGGAAACTGCAAATATGTCGCCAGTTTTGTACAGGCTTCCATTAAACGATATTGAACAGGACGAGATGAGATCTATCTTGACTAAGGTGTTGTTTTGTGTGGCCACGACTCCAATGTAGGGATTGTTGTTGACCCCAGGGATGATATATTCTTTCGATAGAGCTGCAAGAGGGAGTGCGGTAAAGGCATCACTTATATCATTTTGTGTATATCTGTTATATCCATATATGGATACAGGATTGGTACACTGTATACGTATTCCTTTATTTTCAATGCCGCTCTTTGCATGGAGGTGGGTTGTACCACTAAGTGTTTTCCTCATCACAGAGTAGGCAGTTATGTTGATAGATATTAGATTCCTCATTCCGTCGTCATAATCTATGGTACAGAGAGAGTCTGATGTAGAAGATACGTAGATGTCGTTTTCCAGATATGAATGTTGGTTATAGTAATTGTTTGCAAAAAATGCAAAGAAAAACTCTTTTCCACTGGTGCCTGCAATATGTGTATCTCCAACTGGAAAATATGATAGAAACATGCGCATACACTAATGTGTTTATCTCCAGTCAGATCCTGTACTATTGTAGGACTCAGGCTACTTACACTGCTTTTTACCACTATTTCATGAATGTTTCCAAGATAACTGCTTCGTCTTGTTTTCTTAAATACGTCCAAGTTTTCACAGCATCATTTTAGTGTTTCTTCGACAGGTATTATAATAGTTGGACTTCAAAGTAAGGATAAGATACATTTATATGGATGAACAAATTAACAATAAGGAGCGTCTATCTATTTATTTTATCTGTTCTTATTGCTCCTAAAATAAGACGTTGTTCGTCCATATTCCTTATCCTGCTAAACAAGTGATGGCCTTTTAAAACAGGGAAATGTTATGCTTCCTACCTGCGTTTGCATATTGGAGACCGCCAAAGCAGAGCAACAGACTTGCCACGTGCAACAATGCCATAACTAAATGTAAGGCAGGTGTGGGCCTCGTCATACACTGTGAAAGGGCATATGCTTTTGAAAAAGATAACAATCCATTTTTATCTCGGCTGTATAAAACCAAAATGAGTTTATGTGCACATCCTAACCTATTTGTTTGTTACAGGTCGCCGCATTTCCACACAGTGTCACCTGATACGACCCATGGAGCTTTTCAAGCCATGATTACAACGAATTGTTAGAGGTTAAATCTTTCTAATCTATAACATAACAAAGCATCTAAAAACTAATGTAATCTGATCAAATTATACTCACAAATCCAACTGACAGCTCTCATATTAGCCTCGGTTATCAAAGGTAAATTTTACCCACAAAGCGAACACATATTTATCAAGAGTCGTTCTTTCCACTCGTGAAATAAGCAAACGCATGTTGTGAAAACTCAGTGTTGCCGGATGCAGTTCAGAATCCAGGAAGAGTTCGTTCGTTTGTTTGTTTGTTTGTTTGTTTGTTTGGTTTGTCGTTTAACGCCGTACTCAGCAATATTCCAGCTATATGAAGGCGGTCTGTAAATAATCGAGTCAGGTCCAGACAATCCAGTGATTGACATCATGAACATCGATCCACGCAATTGGAATCGATGACATGTTTCAACTAAGTCAGTGAGCCTGACCGCCCGATCCCGTTAGTTGCCTCTTACGACAAGTATAGTTGCCCTTTACAGCAAGCATGGGTTGCTGAAGACCTGTTCTACCCCGGACCTTCACGGGTCGAATCGAGGAAGAGAAATCGTCGCCCCTACAAAAACAAGAAAAAAAGTATCATAATTAACTGAAGCATGATGAGGAATAGTCGCGTTGTTACGTTTTGTAAAACGTTTCCAAATGAGCAGTAATTTACATAAATGCGGCAATGCGACGCGGTCACGAAAGGAAGCAAGTAAATTTTCACTTTTGCTCTTTAATATCAATTGAATGAATTGATTTAATTTGTTGAATGTGAATTTATTTCGTAGTTGAATGCGATCTTGCTCTTAATCTTAGGAAAACAAACAAAATTAAATTAAACATGGCCTTTGGTTGTATGTAAATATGTCAGTGTTTTTACGTGGTATTTGCACCAGTATTAGGTCAAATGTGATTTGATGTGTTTGAAATTGCTCTAAATCTTGTACTTACAAACTGAATACATGTTTGGATTTAATAGTTAAATATTGCTGTGTATACCAGATCCTTTGAATCCTTGTATTTTAATATGTGTGTGTACATTGAGTAACAATATGATGTGCGGAGATGCTGGAGCGAAGGCAGTTGTTAGGCATCTGACTTTGAATACAATCTGGCACAAAGATCGGATTATTTTCTGATTAAAAGACAAGCGGAATTTATATTACGCGCGTTTTTAATTATATTCATTATATATTTTAACATGTGTCTACTATGTATGATGTTTTAATGTAAGATGTTGGTATATATCTTGTCGTTGGTGTCATGCAGTAGGCAGAGGGACAATTGCAATGGAACCATGGTTGATCATTATCTACACTCTAACATAACAACCTGGAAAACATTTATTAATCTTACGTCAATTTCTGCTACAATATACGTTTAGGTCGAACAAAATTAGCGTGGTTCTGGTCCATGCCCGCGTCCTTTACAAAAGCTACGTCCGTATTTTTCTTTTCATTTTCCGGATGTTTTACCAAGGGCAAGAAATTCTAACTTCCTTTCCCCAAAAGGAACGCACAAACGCGCAACCTCCTCCAAAGTGAGCTGTCGTCACTCGTACCAAACTAACATCGTTGCCATCAGTCCCTTCAGACCATTTTCAAACAGAATAGAATGTAAAATTCCGTGGTTTTGTACAATCATGTACTCTTTGCAGAGTATTTACTTTGATAAAAAACGGTATTTGCCATGCATAAAAATATATATACTTAATGTAAAATAAATGTAGTGTTCTTTTGTATTTGAGACATACACGATTTCCGAGAAAAGGGCTGCGTGTCCTGTCCCACGATGACACTCTTCACAAACACATACAAAGACATGTCAATGAATATACCATGAAGATACTTTTGTTTTGATGCATACAATTTCTCTAGTGCATTGATAGATGCGTGAATGTTTGGCTTGGGTGAGATGTTTTCTAGCTACTTTCAAAGTCATTTCAGGAACTCATGAGGCGTGGCAATTTAGAAATGTCGGGACTCACATATCCCTCAATCATCAACACACAACCGAATACGCCCACCTCATATATAGTTGTACAGCATTGTTCATAAAATATAACTGTGCAAGTCTGTTTCCATGTTTACGGAAGGACAGCTTCCGAGTTATGACCTCTTTTGTTGAGAATGGAATCTTTCTCTGTGCTGTGATGTCAAAGGCAACTTTTTGGATGAACTTTTCTATCTTGTATCTACGCTAGGTGATATGTTTGCAGTACATGTACACTATATAACGAACACATATCACACATTATTTTGTTGATGAACAGAAATGGCAACACATTAAGATTTCTCTTGATTGACCGCTTCCTGCGGTATCTGTTAAGCTGCAGAACATCACAAAAAGATTAAATAGTAGATAGCATGGACAACCAAGTCTATCAGGCATTGAAATTATTTGTCACGCACCGCTGCCCCGGAGCGCCGGTAGATTCAGGCCATGTGCCGTGTGTGAAGTATATAGAGAGACACTGTGCGGAGTCAAGGTAAAGTTGTTAACTCATATACAAACACGATTACCTCCCTTTGACCATAACGCATGGTCCTTTGCGATCTTATTTTGTTCTCTATCATGTCTATATCAAATCCATTTGCATATGAATTGTTTGATGGGCATGACTTAGGAATTGTCAAGCCAGACAACGGTATAAGGATCTGTACAGAAACGTCGCCTTTACAGTATTAAAGAAGTTGTTATCCATAAATTGTGTCTACTTTGTCCATTTGCGTAGTTATACTATGTTCACATTGGTTGTTCGGCTCCACGTGCTGTCATTAGAGCCCTACCGAGAGCTAGCGATACGGTCACTTTGATGTGTAAATATGTATTGTGATGCAACTCACTGTCGCAGACTCGCAGATGTTGTAGCATATTTTTCATAATTATGCAAAAGCGCCCCCAAATACTTGTATTTGTCTGTTCTATTCTCATTTCTGAAAAAGCGCGTTTTTTACAAATAAGAAAAAAGTCCGGTCACGTGATATGCAAATTAGCCTGTGACATGCTAAGTCACAATTGCGTCGGAGTGTGTGGCGTGGCCTGTCGTTACTTCAAAGGGAAGTAACTGATAACCCTGTTTACCATTTGCAAAACGGACAAACCCCCTTTGGGATATTGGACGTAACTCTTGATTTGTTGTAAGGGGTAAGCTCCCTTTGAAAGAGGGCACACGCACTCTCGTACACTCTCCTACCCAGAGTTCCATGCGGCCGGCAGCCAGCCAGCATAGTACCTATGCCACAGGCCACGATTCGTCACATCTTTCATTGTCCATTCAAGATATTGAATATGCTTTTCATCCGTTTCATGTTTGACAAGTCAACACATAAAGTTCATAAAAAAATGTCAAAGAATGGTTACGGTTCATTCGAAAGTATCCTAAATCTACATGTTTTTGCGTAGTTAACCTTTGTTTACATTAGTTGTACGGCTCCACGTGCTGTCATCGAAACCCAACGGTGAGCTAGCGATACTGTCACTTTGATGAACAAAATGTATAGATATATTATGTCATGAAATTCACTGTCGTAGTTGTAGTATCATATCTATATAATTATGAAAAACAATATGTTAAGCGCCCACAAATACTTGCATTAGTTAGTTCTATACTGATTTCTGAAAAAGCGCGTTTGTCTACAAACAAGAGAAAAGTCCGGTCACATGATACGCAAATTAGCCTGTGGCGGAGTGTGACTCTCGTAGAGCTCCGCGAACGGGATATCGCCATGAGGAGCTTGGGTTGAGTTTTAATCTCCTCACAGCGATAGCCCGTTCGCACAGCTCTCTATTCTATCCCTGCCACCAGCCAAAACTCCCCACTGTCCCCAACCATGCTCGCAACCAAATGACCGTTATGTTTACAAAGAATTGACGACAGTCGTGACGCCGAATACACTCACCCCTGCTAAATTACTTTCTTTCTTTGTCAATTTGAATTTCTATTTCATTAAAACTATCATCTTTAATTGATATAATAAGAATGTTAGGGAGAAGCTGGTTGATTTTCTGTTAGTCTGCAATCTCGAACCAATCTGATTATTAAAACAACAAAGTAAATTCATCTGGAAAACATGGTCAGTCGTAAACCTTTTCAAAATGAAATATGCTGGCATTCCCAAAGACATAAGCAAAAGTATAACCGTTTCTACATTTGGGGTTAGAGGGCAAATTTCAAGATTCTTGTAATGGCCACGCCACAGTGGTGGCAGCGATGTTACCGAGTGTGTAACGAAGGTGTCACGCGCTGGGAAGGAGCTTGGTGTCAAGCGCTTGGAAGGCTCGTGGTTGAGTTTAAGGCAAGGCAGCTAACTCCTGTACAAACACGATTACCTCCCTTTGACCATAGTAGTTCCGCGAGGTCCTCAGCAAATCCATTTCTAGGCTTAATCCATTTTAAGAAGAAAAAAGAATCATATAAAGGAGGAAGAATGTTCAAACGTGCAAATTAATTCAGGCGTTTATTTGAAACAACATTGCATGAATGCACGGATCTCCGTGACGCGGTTATCTCCCTTAGACCGCCATCTGCATCGGCTGCCGGATTATCTCTATAACGGTGACGTTTACCGTTCTTTCTGCATTTCTGTGTTTGTGTTTATGCTCGGAGACTTCAGAACATGCAGCAATAATGACAAAGTATCATTTTTTTAAAATTCATCAGGTATCGACTGTGAAGCAAAAATATATTAAACAGAAAATATAATACATTTTATCGTTGAAAAAAACTTGACGACAAACAAACATAATTCCTTATCATGGTTAAAGATACATTGTCATGTTTGTGAATGCATAAATTGGATTTTCGATAATTAAAACAATAACTTGAATGGATTGTTTTTCAGGATTGTTTAAAAAGTATGAAGAGAATTCTTCAGCCTCAA